AGGGAGTCTATTCCACATTTTCACAGCTCTCACTGTGAAGAAACCTTTCCGTGTTTGGAGATTACATTTCTTTTCCTCCAGATGTAAAAAGTGCCCCCTTGACCTCTGTGATGACCTCAGGGTGAATAGCTCTATACACTGCGTTCACTATATGAACCACTGATGTATTTATACATGTTGATCATATCCCCCCTTAATCTCCTCTTCTCAAGAGAGAATAAATTCAGTTCCTCTAATCTTTCCTCATAGCTGATCTCCTCCATGCCTCTTATCAGTTTAGTTGCCCTTCTCTGTACTTTCTCCAGTTCCCCAATGTTCTTTTTGTGAATTGAACTGCATATTCACCACCATAACAAAATTCTTGTGTGTTGGAGTGAATGGAGGAGGTATGTGTCAGCTTAATCATCTCAAAAATAGCACTTTCTGGAATCATCCTACAGAAATTCTTTTGTAATAACCTAACAAAATAGGGAGTAGCCTTTCCCAGAAGCAACTTTTAGATTGCTGAAAGGGGTTGCACATGATCTCGAAGAGGGTCAGTTACTATCAAGATTTAAACAGATGCCTATACATTTTGTGACTCCTTTTCTAAAAGCAGCAGCCCTCCATAGACAGCTGGTGACATATTACAAGTACATTTAAAAATTATAACATCTGTTCTGCTTTCTAACCAGCCAAAAAAGCATGATGGTATTTGTATCTGGTCAGACCTTGATCTAGACCAGCAATGGGCAAACTACGGCCCGCGGGCCGTATACGGCCCAGCGGACCTTTTAATCCGGCCCGCGGAGCATGGAGAGCTAGGCTCCTCTCACAGTCCGCCCTGAAGACCGGTGTAGCATGAAAATCTGTCTCCTATGAGGATCTGTCCCCCTCGACGTATCTGCGCATGTGCCGGAGATCGCCGATCGGCTGCTAATGCCTGAAACTGGCACATGCGCAGATACGTCGAGGGGGACAGATCCTCATAGGAGACAGATTTTCATGCTACACCGGAACGGCACGGGAACACGGCGAGAGGAACGCGCGGAGCAAAGGTAAATGAATTGACACAGGGGGGGACTTGGGGACTTAATATGGGGGGGAAATTAATATGGGGAATGAATTACTATAGGGGGGATGAATTACTATATGGGGGCTGAATTACTATGGGGGATGAATTACTATATGGGGGATGAATTATTATATGGGGGATGAATTACTATGGGGGATGAATTACTATATGGGGGATTAATTACTATGGAGGGATGAATTACTATATGGGGGATGAATTACTATATGGGGGAGGAATTACTATGGGGGATGAATTACTATGGGGGATGAATTACTATATGGGGGATTAATTACTATGCTTACTATGGGGGAATATTACTATACTTACTATGGATGACACATACACATAATTCATCTACTCTTGGTCCGGCCCCCGGGTCCAATATATGAACCCATTGCGGCCCTCAAGTCAAAAAGTTTGCCCACCCCTGTACTAGGCTCAGGTATATTCTCTATTAACACTTAGAGCAAAAAATATAACATGATTATATATTCTCCCATCATGGAAACATGTGAATACAGCCATTAAAAACGTTGAGAGTAATGTGTCTTCATTATATTCAGCTAATTTAAACAGAGAATTGAAAATTACACTTTGCAACATCAAAGCTGTACATATAGCAAAAGACAAGCAGATAAATGACAGATTGACCCCATTTCCTCTGGGAAATGTTTCATCTCATATTTTACAATCCTATTGCTTCAACTTGAGTTCATTTCATTAACTGATTTACTGGAATTGCTTAACATAAATTAATTGATTTGAAGCAATCTTAGTAAATCATTGCTACTTAAATGAGAAGAAATTTGTCAGAACAGAATTATATACATATATATCACACAAGTATATAGAGATATGTTTTGGCATGTTTATGTGTATTGTTATACACATTCCACATTCAAGGCTACAGATGTACTTAGCAGATCTTTATTTTCAATATACCATTTCATGTACATATATACAGTAGGTTTGTCCATGTCCACAGAACCATGGTATGCAAATATAATAATGATAATATAGGAGGGAGCATGAGATATCAGTCATGGAACATCAGGTTTTAGTGCTTGTAAGGAAATATGTCTTATTAACTGGCATTCATTTTGTATAATGCCTCCATTTCTAGATGTGTGATCAGTTAGATTCGGTTTTGTAACTTCTCTCTCGTTTCCTTAGACTAGTTTCATTTCTGTGAACGGAACTACCTTATATGGTATCCCTCAAATATTTGCAGTTTCTGCTCTTCACGTAATTATATTGATAAGAATGGAATGTTTTATTGGTCATCCTGAGATTAAGCAACACCTACTAAGTTCTGAATAACCGTTCTTTTCATGCATTAAACTTTCAGAGATTTAGCTTGCACACTTTGGTGACCGGCGCTTTATTTCTCCCAGGCCTGAGGGTGAAAATAATGAGGACAGGGGCTACAGACATAGGTTGAATCCTTGCAGTGCTGAACTATATTACCTTACTGCAGAGTAGCCAAATCACAACCTTTGTCCAACAACAACCTGTTATTAATTTATATATATATATATATATATATATATATATATATATATTACCATATGTACCAATCACCTACAACACTGTTAAGGCAGGCATACACGGTAAGAAAATCAACCGACGACCAAGGAAACAGTGTTCATTGGTCAAAATTGAGGCACACATTAACCAATCGAAAAAAGTCATTCAACGAGCAGCGAGCAAAATCCTCTCTTGTAATAAAAGAGCTATAGACTCCAGAGAGAGAGATATCATATTACCCCTGTACAAATCATTAGTAAGACCTCATCTGGAATACGCAGTTCAGGAGGCATCGAGAAGCTCAGCTATGAGGAAAGATTAGAGGAACTGAATTTATTCTCTCTTGAGAAGAGGAGATTAAGGCGGGATATGATCAACATGTATAAATATATCAGTGGTTCATATAGTGAACCCTGAGGTCATCACAGAGGACAAGGGGCACTCTTTACATCTGGAGGAAAAGAAATTTAATCTCCAAACATGGAAAGGTTTCTTCCCAGTGAGAGCTGTGAAAATGTGGACTAGATTCCCTCAAGAGTTGGTTCTGGCCAGCTCAGTGGATTACTTTAAAAAAGGCCTGGATTCTCTCCTAGAGACAAATAATATAACTGGATACTAACATTTATATGTAAAGTTGATCCAGGGAATATCCAATTGCCTCTCGGGGGATCAGGAAGTAATTTTTTTCCCTGCAGGACCAAATTGGATCGTTTTTTTTTTGCCTTCCTCTGGATCAGCTGTGGGTATAGGATTATAACTTATTTTTTAATGGTTGAATTGGATGAACTTTTGTCTTTTTTTTCAGCCAGACTAACTATGTAACGAGCAATCAATTTCATACGTAGTGTTGACGTCGTCCGTACAAGTAGAAATGATGCAATGTGCATGTGAACGTGTAGCCACGCCCTTCCACCCAGAACAAGCGTTCAACACCCTGCCGTCCAGAACAAGCATTAGAACGGTAAATAAATAGTGATACATAAACATATAATATGCATAATTTTATGATAATTCTGTTTTCATTATCTCATTAGGCCAATCTACTTTTAACATTTGTATTTTTCGTTCGTGTTTACGAATATTCCTTGGACATAAGCATCCAGGTCATCTTCTGTTTCCGCTCATGTGTGATAGCGCTTGATAGATTTTTTTCGGACGACCTTCATACCACCGCATAGAAAATAGGTCGTTCACATGCGAAACAACCAAATTTTTCAATGTTATTCAACTGTTTTTTTTCGTTCACAATATCGATTTTGGTTATAACATCCTGCTCCTGAATGAAAAGAAAATCAGTCGATCATTTCATCAACAAAATTTTTCGTACCATTTTCTTACTGTGTATTCCTGCCATTAGTTGTATAAATCAAACCACCAATACCAAACAGAAATATTAAAAGTTTTTAAGTAATAATTGTTTTCTGTCCATGCAATGAAAGAAAAAGTTAAAAATCTTGTTTCAGATGGAGCCCTCTAGGAGGCAAATTAAATATTTTATTACCCTACTAGGAAGTAGTAGGCCTTACTAAACCCACAACAGTAAAATCAGTCTGTATATGCAGTAAAGCATGCTTGTTATACTCACAAGAGGTTAATCCTCCACATTGTGTAAAAAGGCTGTTAGATCTGGTCTTCTTTGATCCTCCCCTTCTTCCACTGTCCCCAATCTATCTGCTGATAGTACCGAGCCCTAGAAGACACTCGGGACATGCTCAGTTTGGTGTGCATTGGAAGGGTGCATGTGATCTACACGGAGCCAATCAGCACTTTTCAGGCAGAGGGTCAGGGGTCATGCAGCCTCGTATGACAGTCAAAGGTGAATGAAAACTCCTTTTCTCCTCTGCAGATGCTGCAGGAGAGGAGAGAAAGCTGTGGAGTTTTCAAATCCCCAGACCTGTGAAGCAGCTTTCTCTCCTCTCCTTACAGAGATGACAGTATGGGCTAGACAGTATGGGCTAGATGGCTTGTGATTGTTCAGCACCATCCATGTGATGGTGCTGACCAATCAAAAGCCCTGTAGCCTGAACTGTCATCCCTCAAAGGAGAAGAGAGAAAGCTGCTGGGGATTTTAACCACAAGCCTACAGGGCACTTATACCCCCATTCCTGCCCAGGCCAATTTCCAGCTTTCAGCGCTGTTGCACTTTGAATGACAATTGCGTGGTCATGCAACACTGTATCCATATGAAATTTTTATCTTTTTTTGTGACAGATAGAGCTTTATTTTGGTGGTATTTAATCAACTCTGTGTTTTTTATTTTTTCTTAAACAAACAAAAAGCCACTGAAAATTTTGAAAAAAAAAAAAAAAAATTTTTCCTAGTTTTTGTTATAAAAGGTTGTAAATAAGTGATTTTTCTCCTTCACTGATGTGTGCTAGTGAGGCTGCAGTGATGGGCACTGATAGGCTGCACTGATGGACACTGATAGGTGGCACTGATGGGCACTGATGAGGCACTGGTAGGTGGCACTGTTGGGCATTGACAGGCATCACTGATGGGCACTGAAAGGCAGCACTGATATATGGCACTGATAGGCGGCACTGATAGGTGGCACTGACTGGCACTGATAGGCAGCACTGACTGGCACTGTTAGGTGGCACTGACTGCCACTGATAGGCGCACTGACGGGCACTGATAGGCGGCACTGATGGGCACTGATAGTCGGCACTGACTGCCACTGATAGGTGGCACTGATTGGCAGCACTGATAGGTGGCACTGACTGGCACTGATGGGTGACACTGAAAGGCAGTTCAGATGGACACTGATATGTGGCATTGATGTGCACTGGTAGGCACTGATATGTGGCATTGATGTGGCACTGATGGGCACTGGCATGTAGCACTGATGAGCACTGACAGCTGTCACTGATGGACACTGACAGGTGGCACTGCTGGGGCTACACTGATCATCAGGGCACACTGATCATCAGTGCTCTGATGATCAGTGTACATGTCCTCTCCGCAGAATGCTGATTAACGGCTCTCCTCTCCTCTGTCAGCGTGACAGCTCGTGGGGAGAGAAATGCTCATAACTGGCATTTCCCTGTTTACATGTGATCAGCTGTGATTGGACACAGCTGATCACATGACCGAGCCGACATCTTCGGCTCTTTCCGTTGATCGGTGATCCGCTGTGTCCGAGGTACACAGCGCACCGCCGATCACCGCACTGCGCGCTCCGGGAGCCGCACATGAGCGGTTAGAATGGGAGGACGTCATATGACGTCCTCCCAGAACGACAGAACCGCCTTCCATCCGTCATATTACTATATGGCGGGCGGGAGGTGGTTAAATCCCCGCAGCTTTCTCTCCTTTCCTACAACTGAGAATCTGGAGCATCTGTCTCCATCTGCCACCATCTGCCATCAAGGTAAACAATCCCTCATGCCCTTCTCCCCACTCCCTCCTTAGCAAGGGATCGGTGCAGTGACAAGCCTGGGTTCACACAGGAGCAGTGGGAAAACTGCATGCAATTTGGACAGGAAGCACATTCTATTCTTTGCAGTGCAATGTGCGTCCATACATTTTGTATTGATGCAAATCACACTGCAACGTATCGGTACTCGGTATGGGAGAGCACTTGACCGAAAATATCGGTACTCGTAGATCAAAAAAGAGTATCGGTGCATCCCTATATCATACATATTTATAGATACTTTACATTTCTAATGTATTATTCCTGCTTCAATTTCCAATTGTCATTTAATAAGTTGCTCTTCTAGTCCTTATTTACCCTTTTTAACTTTTGACCGCGATATTGGCTTTCAGCTAAGAATCTCTTCTTCATTTATTTCTTATTCAAGTGCAATCAGTCTGCTATAGAAAAAGCTGATGTATGCTAAAAACACCGCTGTCTTTTGAAGGTTACATTTGTACCAAGCTGTATCAGCTTTTTGTGTATCAATATTACATCTAAGTATTCAAGCCAACAATAAAAAGACAAATCTTAGCTAAGTGGATTCATCAGTTGTGGACGGTGTTGGACAGAACTTGTACATTGGATCTTCCCTGCTATGTGTAAGGACAGAGGGGAAATCTCTCTACTGCCAATTGTGGCTGAGTGGATCAGCTGCTAGTTGTGATGATCTTAAGCTTCCATCAAATATATATATATATTTCTTTTAGGCACTTTTTATCATGGAATGTAAGCCTGGTGTGTACAGGGGCGGACTGAAAACTCATGGGTACCGGACAATAGGAGATCATGGGGCCCCTGTGTCCTTGCACAAACTCAAAAAAGCCTATGAAAAAGGTACCAGGGGCATCTCATGGGGCCCCCTACTGACCCCGGGGCCACGGGCAATGCCCGAGTTTCCAAATGGTCAGTCCGCCCCTGGGTGTGTATTTAGAGTTGCAAACTAATCTTTTGTGCCCAGCACAAAATCTACGAGACAGCATTCTGTGCTTGTACTACACTTATATCAACTGATGTCAAATGAACGCTGTACACTTGAGGAAACCATCCAAAAATTGCATATCTAAAGTTAGGAAAACGATTTTAAAAAGAAGTTGCCCCCATCTCCTGCAACCCATAAATAACAGTGGGGGGCTCATCTTGCTTTTGTTTCCATTCCTTTATGGATTACAGAAATATTGGAAGCTCCTAACCTTATAAAAACTAAAAACCAGGCGTATTCCGTTAGATCTTGGAAAGGATTTGAGCATCATACTTTAAAAAGTTACATTACAGGTATGGATATTTTTATACGTAGTGTGACAGTATGAACGGCAAAGTGATGGATGGACGATATGTGTCACCTCGCATGAGGTTATACTGTGAGGTGTAAGGTGGAGTCCACTCCGGGTTTTCGGGGCCACAATGGCAGAGGTGGTTCCGGACCAGAGTTTGGACTCCACTGATGACCACCAACAGGTGGTATAAATAAGACAGGGCTGGAGCAAGGAGTTGCTCGTGGCCTGGGACTCAGAGAGGTATTCTGAGAGAGAGGTGCGTGCGTGCGTGCGTGCGTGCGCGTGCGCGTGCGTGCGTGCGCGCGTGCTATACCTACAAGAAAAGGTTTGTTTTGGGTGACAGGGAGAAGCCCTTCACCTCTGAGAGAGGAAACACCTTCTGTTTAGTTAGTGCCTGAATGGCAAGGGTTTATTTTACTGTTTTGTTTGTTTTGACCTTTGTGCAAACCTGTAAATAAAGCTGACAACCAGTCAGATTTTAAGAAAGCCTGCTGTGCGGTCTACCTTTTTCCCAGGGAAGGTGATCCCCCACCTGAGCCAACCCCACAGTAGTCACGCTGATTTGGTTTGGATCAATGTATCTGTGTATATACAATACCTGGCTGATGCCCCTGGAAGCTGGAAATCACTGTAGTAGACACTGCCACTCATTGATCCCCCCTAGATCCTGGGTCCAATGCCCTGCTGCATTGTGAATAGAGGAGGTTGGCCGACCAGCACAGTTGTCATTCAGAGAATGCTTTGCAACTTCTCAATGAATGCAAAACATTATTTAATCGAGCAAGGCGGAGAGAGTAACACCACTGTCCTGTGTACAAAATGGCAAAACATGAATTCTTCTTTAATAATATGCATTGGGTGGGCAGAAATAAATCTGACTGGTTTCTGTTCAGTGGAGTAATACAATTTTTGCCATGATTATCACTGTGACAGCACATTTGCAATTTATGGCTATTTTACCTCTCAATATGCGATACCTCATCAGTGATAGGTTCAAGCTCAGGCCCAGACTGGCCATAGGGCAGCACAGCGGGAGGTAAGCAGCAACCATGGTCTGGACGGGGCTAATACAGACCGCGGCCGCCGCGCTCACCTCCCGCTGTGCGGCTATGCCCAAAGCAGGGCCGACAGGAGGAGCGGCAGTGAAGGCTCCTGAAGACAAACAGAAATCGCCACTGACACGGACACCTCCTCAGCCGGCCGCTGCACTGAAGGGAGAACAGCGGCCTCTGTAGTGGCAGTGGATGGGGCTGTCTCTGCTGGACAGGCTGTCTCTCTGCTGGATGGGCTGTCTCTTTGCTGAAGGAGCTGTCTCTTTGCTAGATGACTGTCTCTTTGCTGGATGGGCTGTCTCTTTGCTGGATGAGCTGTCTCTTTGCTGGATGGGCTGTCTCTTTGCTGGATGAGCTTTCTCTTTGCTGGACGGGCTGTCTCTTTGCTGGACGGGTCTCTTTGCTGGACGAGCTGTCTCTTTGCTGGACGAGCTGTCTCTTTGCTGGAGGGGCTGTCTCTTTGCTGGAGGGGCTGTCTCTTTGCTGGAGGGGCTGTCTCTTTGCTGGAGGGGCTGTCTCTTATTTGGAGGGGCTGTCTCTTTGCTGGAGGGGCTGTCTCTTTGCTGGAGGGGCTGTCTCTTTGCTGGAGGGGCTGTCTCTTTGCTGGAGGAGCTGTCTCTTTGCTGGAGGGGCTGTCTCTTTGCTGGAGGGGCTGTCTCTTTGCTGGATGGGCTGTCTCTTTGCTGGAGGACTGTCTCTTTGCTAGAGGGGCTGTCTTTTTGCTGGATGGGCTGTCTCTTTGCTGGACGGGCTGCCTCTTTGCTGGACAGCTGCCTCTTTGCTGGACTGGCTGTCTCTGCTGGACAGAATATTGGGTACACTTGCATTGCCAACAAAATAGCTCCTTGCATATAATCCCAAGTTCGAATCTTCTTGTGTGTTAGTGGAAGGCTCTCTCAGGTGGGAGGGGGATGGAGCAGGGGTGTTGTTGATCACAGTCAGGCTCTCTCTGCTGGGGAGGGGGCGTTCAATTTTTGTGTTGCCTAGGGCAGCACAAAACCTAAATACACCACTGAATGTGCCCATTTTGCTCTGACCTCTGACATCAACAAGGCATTTTTATCCACACAACGACCGCTCACTGGATATCTTCTCTTTTCCGGACCATTCTCTATAAACCCTGGAGATGGATGTGCGTGTGAATCAACGAAGATTAGCAGTTTCTGAAATACTCAGACCAGCCTGTCTGGCACCAACAACCATGCCACGTTCAAAGTCACTTAAATCCCCTTTCTTCCCCATTCTGATGCTCGGTTTCAACTTCAGCAAGTCGTCTTCACCACGTCTAGATGCCTAAATGCATTGAGTTGCTGCCATGTGATTGGCTGAGTAATTTGTGTTACCAATCAATTGAACAGGTGTACCTAATACTAATAAAGTGGCCAGTGAGTGTATGTCCCCCGCAGCTATCACCTTTTGTATCACCTCCCCCTTCCTTTAGATTGTAAGTTCCACGAGCAGGGCCCTCACATTCCTTCTGTACTGAAATGTATTGTAATTGTACTGTCTCCCTTATATTGTAAAGCGCTGCGCAAACTGTTGGCGCTTTATAAGTCCAGCATAATAATAATAATAGCAAAAAAAGCCTGCACTTGGAAAAAATAACAAGAATTGCAGTTTTGTAGTTTTCACTAAAAGCTTAAGAAAAAGATGTAAATCGGACACAAAAATGAAAGCCCTATCTGACCCCCCTTTTCCTGCCAAAAAAGATGTACAATATATTAGGGTAGAATAAAAGAGCTAAACACTAAGGTATGAATCAGAGACTTAACTTTAAAAATAAATAAGAGTTTTTAAAAACCCCTGGGACTCAAGTGGTTAAGTTGATACTGTTAAACTGATCAAAACCTGAGTGTGCAACCTATGCCAATAAATTATTATTGAATGAATTAGTATTTATATATTCACCATCACCATATCATTATGATTATCATCTTCATCATCTGCTATTCATTTTATAATTATTATTGCAGCCATCATCATTATTATTATTTTTAGATGATAATGATGATGATGATTTGCCTAGGCAGTGTCATCATGCTAATAAAAATAATAATAATGAGGATGATGAGGATGATGAAGATTTGCCCAGACAGTGCCATCATGTTAATAAAAAATAATAATAATGTTGAAGATGATGATGATTTGCCCAGGCAGTGTCATCATGTTAATAAAAATAATAATAATGTTGAAGATGATGATGATTTGCCCAGGCAGTGTCATCATGCTAATAAAAATAATAATGATGATGATGATGAAGAAGATGATGACGTGTCATCATGCTAATA